ATCCACATATTTACGTATAAAACATCCAAGAGATGGCGCTGTGGCATATAAACATTACCTCCGTGCTCCGAACATTGTGTGTGTTTTATTGAATTGTTCAATGAATGACGCACTCGTTCACTTCCGACAGCGAGTGAAAATGCAGAAAATTTTCTTGTTCGATGTGAAATGCATCGGCCGGGCATTTCATTATTTACGAAAAGCAAACAGTCTCGCGAAACACCTACACGCAGTAACGGGTCACGTCGTTGACGTCCCATTCAGTGTCCATCCACGAAGAAGGCGGGGCTTATTGTCATTACGGAGATGCCAAAATGCAACATAAGGACGTAGCGCAGTGCGCTAAACGACGTGTTATTTTCGTTTTTGTGCCAAACTCTATCGTAGGAAACCGTTCTAGCCTAGCAAAATGCCCTAGTTCGTGAGATCGGCGATTTGGTACCGTCATGGGTCCCCACCTTTGAATTTCTTTTAGGGAGGTGTGGCGTAGGCTGTGATTGGAAGACACAAAATGTCAATCCTCGGCGCGCCTCGGCATCATGGCCGCATCACGTCCAGTGAATGGAGATGAATTTTGCACAGGGGAGAGATAATGATCCGCTAGGGGACGGCTCTAATTGGCTAATTTGCTAATTTTGGGTTAGGGTTAGGGTTAGGATTAGGGTTAGGGCTAAGGTTAACTGATTTCTATATGCACAACTTATTTCTATATTCACAATCTATATTTTCTTTATCTCCTATATTCACAATCTCTCCCCTGAGACCAACTAAATGGAGATTCGTAAACAGCGTATGATTTGAAAGAGGTAACTGGGCGCACAATCTGCATACTATTTCGTATCACTATTTTATCAAATTTTTCATAAAATAATGGTTGGATTTTTAATATCTTTGCAACTTGTATTAGTCCAAATCTAATTACATAGGATACGAGTAATGTGGCTGCTGTAAAACTTGTAGTAAAAAAGCGTTACAAATTGTAACGGAAATCTGCTTGTGGCAGTGGTAGATTGAGCCCATGAGCGAGAGCGCCATCTGTCGTGGAGTTTGTAGCTGACCCTGCCACTGACCTGTCATTGACCCCTAGCTGACCCTTCCACTGACCTTTACATTGTCGTTGGGGTCCAGCTTGTCGTTGGGCGTCTGCTGACGGTCAAGCTCTGACATGGCTTCCTGTATCGCAAGCTGCAGGTTCGTGTCCATCCGCCGCGCCCTGAACATCCGCACAACTTGATGTTAAACGATGGCGGCACCGGCCGTGATGTAAACGATGCGGCACGCCGTGATGTAAGATGCGGCACGCCATGATGTAACATGCGACACGCCATGATGTAATAGATGGCGGCACGCCGTGATTAACGATGCGCATCGCCGTAGATGTAACGATTGCACCGCCACATATTAACGATGCGGCACGCCGCGATGTAACGCTGCTGCCACGCCGTGATTAAGATCAGCCACCCCATGATGTAATGATGCCGCAACGTCGTGATTAACAATGCGGCACGCGTGATGAACGATGCAGCACCCCATGATGTAACGATCACATCACAAGTAACGATCATGCCATGATGTTAACTGATGCACGCCATGATTAACGATGTGCAACCACAATGTATGTATGCCATCGCCATGATGTAACGATGAAGAGCACGTCTCAGAATAATAGTTGAGTTAAAAGAGCATGACCTACGAAATTTTTTTCAAATGTGTCTTCGATATCTGCACATTAATGTTTTATTCCGAATTACTCACTACCACAACGGGCCATTTCGATCTACTCCACAGAATTACTTGACGTGTCCTAAAAAAAGGTGTTTACTACATGCAAACCCCGATTTACCGAATTCGTAACGCGCGAGTCTGGACATTTTTTGCCTTCGCAGGAACTGAAAGTTTTTGTGAGTTAAGCCGGCCTTATACCACCCCCTTCAACCATACCGGCTTTTCTTACGAGTCCTTAGGCTTGCCACTCGTAGTCAATCGGCAGCACCGTAATACTTCGCTGGTATCCGTATTAAATCGTCACAATCGCAGACACTCGTAAGGATCCGTGAAAGGAGAGCAAATTTTTGACATATCAAAACTTCTTACGAGTGTCCACGGATTGATTTCCGTAAATAACTTCGAACAATCCGTAATACTGTAAACCGCTCGCACACACGTACGACCTAATCTGCTTCGCAAGATCCGTAAACGACTCGTAACAATGTTGTTACGATTGATATGTCGTTTACGGATATTTTTGATATAACGAGAGCTTACGGCAGGGACGGATTAAAGGCTCACTGTGCCCTAAGCACTGACCAATCTTGTGGCCCCCCTCCCTTTCCACCGACCCGTCCGTTAGTGATGTTGAACGGCGTGGTCTGACAAGATTATACAGAGGCTAGTGGCCCGCAGTGTACAAGCAATTTATGTAGGTTAAGGAGTGGTGATAAACAGGCGGGACATGGGTTGGTTTTTAAATTAGATCGCAGAGATGGTATTTGAGCAATTTTGACGTAAATGCCTGTACACGCTCATTCTGACTACGAGTCAACTTTCTATTTTGTTTTTACATGTTCAGTGTAGAAAACATCTCTGTTTCATTGGGTGACCCATGTAATGTAATAATATCTGTAAGGCAATTTGCAATCATTTGGAACAAGCTACTTCGACTATTGTCTTCTGTAGATATGGTGTTTTATAATGTGCCATGTGATGAATATGTTCTGTTTTTAAACCTGTGTATGGAAGAAACATATCGAATTGGTAGACTGCATAAGTCTGTAGACAAAAGTGTTGTTCATGTCATCGCGATAGCTCCATAAAATTAGTGCTTGCCAAATCTTGTCTGCAGGTACGGTCACTTCTGATAATTCAGGAAATAGCGACCTTGTTGGATGCATTGCTGAGGGCATCCCGTGTATTGTATTGTATTGTAATTTGTGGGCCCCTTGTGATATCACTGGGAAATACAATTATCTTATTCGTTTTTTTCTGTCGGTTCGTCCGTGGACCTCTTTTCCAATTGTGGTGGGAGGACGGCCTGAGGTGTGTGTGTGGGCTGAGGCCGCGGGGGGTTGGGATCTGGGGGTGGGTGGTGATGGGTGTTGTGGCGGGTTGGGTTCGGGGGGGATGGGGTGGCGGCGTGGGGAGGGGCTGAGGTGGCCGGCGGAAGGGTGGGGGGGGGCCGGCTTCGTGGAGGGTGCTGGGGCTGGAGGGGTGGGGGCCGGCGGCGCGGGATTGGCGGGGCGCACGGGCGTGGGTGTGGGGCGGCGCGGGCGCGGGCAGGGAGGGCGGCGTGGGGTGCGGGGGTGGGGATTGTGCACTCGGCGGGAGTTCAAGTCAGACTTCCGTGTGTGCCATTAAGGAAGGCGGTGATGGGCCGCTGATGGGTGTGGATTGTTGGTCGTTTACGTCTTAGCGACCTGCGCGGGCTTTCCGCGTCTAACGTGCCGTCGCAACGCGCGGTGTATCGCGGGGGAGGTGGATGTTATCTTGGGCCGTGGGTCCCACCGCCGACCCAACCTTTCCTGGTGGCCTAACATGTGGCTATTCTTCTTAATGTTAATTCGGCACTGCTTACGTGTTGTTTAACGATTTTATTTGATCGTGTTACGATGCTATACGGATTGTACGACGTTATTTCGAGCACTTTAAATAGCTACTAATACTTTGACGATTCTTACTATGTTATCGATTTGGAAAGACTGGCAAAGAACACGTCATTTTGCGTTGTTATCAAAGGTATTAACTCTCATATCCCTTGTCTCTCTGCATGTCAGTTGAATGATAGATTGAGTATTTGGGGCGGTGATACTCCATTAGGAGTGTTCTCGCAACTTTAATGTCATTAACTGATCATAAATAACATAATATATATATATCGATATGGAGTAGATAATAGGGTACTAGATATATATATAGATAGTATAGCTGATATATGATATTATGTCATGGTCATATATAGGTTGTGGTTATAATGTCAATTTAGAGGTTTAGGGTTTAGGGTTAGGTGTTTGGATCTATCAATCATTTATCATTAATGATATCAAAGTCGGAAACCATTCCTAATGATCAGTTACGAGATTTAGTATTTTGTATATAGCATTTGTCATTCTGGCCACAAAACTCGTCAAAGACCGTAAATGCTCTAATATCGTACCTATTCGCTCACAGACAACGTGAAACACGTAAAGGTCACAACTAACACGTAAAAGCTTCGACGAATCGTAATATATCCTGAACAACCCGATAAACGCTTCAGTAAAATCTCGTATTGCTCGTAGTTATCCGGTGACGACTCGATCGCTAACAAATCGTGAAATTTGCCGATAAATACATCGTAATGATCTCGTAATAATCCGTAATAATCCGTAATTAGCTCGTAATAACACGTAAGATCGCCTTCGTAAAAGTGGCCAAATCGTAAGGATCCGTTTACTTTTACGAATTGTGCGATCCGTAAAAACTCGTATGAAAAATCCGTGTATGTGAAGGGGGTATTAGATCGAATCGACGATCGCCTATAGATCGCGCAACTAAATGAGTTTACACAACTTGTTGCTGTGTGCATGTTGTGTACATGACTGTACGTATTGTTTCATTCACATTGTTCGCTCAACATTGGCTCAGTTTATACGCCGATTTTCTTGAACCCCGATTTAGCGCGATCCCGCTTTTTTCGCGACGACATTTTACGGACCCCAATGATCGCATTATAACGGGGCCACACTGTAGGTACTACCCCCTCCCTCACACGTGTGCGACCCAGGAAAGCTAAGGCCATAATAAAAATATTGTTTGTTTGCTCTCACCCGACCGACCCGCCAAAAAGGGGCCGGCTCAAAATTTGTTATTGATCATTCCCATTCTTTTTTTTTTTACAAATTGTATCACTGTACATTATATAAATCTGTAGGCAATACATTATATGTACCAAACAAAACAAACATTCAACATAAAAGGTATCTCCACACAAGCACACCCAAGCATGTAGATACCATGCTGAATTTGTAAAAAGACTCCCCCCCCCAAAAAAAGCCCAACCTACCTACCCAAACTTTTCAGCCAGGGTCGGGTGAGGGCAAACAAAGATTTTTTAAATTGTGGCCTAACACACCTCCTCTGCTCTTTCCAAGCTCTATGATGAGCCTCCAGTCCATCTGAGAGAGATTTCAGCTGGTCTGGCTCGACTTGTGCGAAAGAGTGATCTCCGAACCATCTCACCCAGACCTGCCAATGACGAAAAGACATCTCATTTTTCCAGCATCATCATTGTCACATCACTATGATGATGATTATTATTATTATTTATAATCATCATCGTCGTCGTCGTATCACATTACCATACCATACATCATCACATCACTATGATTATTATGATGATTATTTACATTATTATATCATCATATCAAGTAGTTCATCATATAATTCAGCGATGAAATCAGTGATTGTCTCAAGTATGAATAACAGAAGCGCCGCTCCACTCACCAAATTACTACTAGCACTCTCAAACAGCTTACATTTTATCAGGGGTTAATAACGACAAATTGTCATTTTTGTCAATTTTTGTCATTTTGCCAATTTTTCATTATTAACCCCCGATTTTATCAACAGGCTCGCACGTTTCCTGACGTGCCCGCTAGGTGGTGTGACGTACCTTGCCGTTAGCGTGGGTGGCCGGCTCGCGGGCGTGGCAGCGGCCCACCTCCGCCTCACTCACCAGTTTCCCCGGCCAGGAAGCACATCCATGGCTCTGCCCCCACACGACGTCGCCCACCGTGAACGCCCCTCCCGCAACCGCACCCTCCTCCTCCTCCTCTGCCTCCTCTGCTTCACCGATGTCTGACGATGAGTCACCTGCATAATAAAGTGTGAAATAAGACAGGGGTCCCTCTACGAAACAATAACAACAACAATAATGCGCAACATTAGACAGGTGCCTCGACGAAAACAATAACAACAACAATAATGCACGACATTAGACAGGTGCCTCGACTAAGCACTAAATCAACTGAGAGGGGGATGTGAAAATTTACAAACATAAGCCAGCATAAACAAACTCTTCTGCTAACAGCATACCTCTACAACACCGAATTCCATTTGAGAAGCAAAAAATCATGGATTCACAGTGAAAATAGCCGGGCGCTAATTTTGAGGTCGCTATTTTCTAAAAAACAAAAAGGCATTTAGCGCAAATGCAAATCCCGAACCCAGCTCACGCGCGAACTCACTCATGCTCTGCTCTCCACCCTCAATGACGTCCATTGCCGGGCTTGCCTCCTCCTCCTCCCCAGCACCGCATCCCTCCTCCTCCTCCATCTCCTCCGCTTCCTCCTCCTCCTCCGTCGTCCGTATCCACGTGTCCGGAGCCCCGCCCCCGCCCACCGGCGCCCCCTGCTTGTCGATGTTTGGTGGCGGCGCATCGTCGTCCTGCACGTGCTGCGGAGTCGTCTCCAACCCGGAATCGGAGCTGCCCGCTGACGGTGGCGCCGCTGTGGTGCACGGCGGCCCCCGGGGGGCACCACCGGAATCCTGACTGGTGGCGCCATCGCTGGCGAGGACCTCGGTGCCACTGTCGGAGAAGTCGGAGCAGGCGGAGCGCGAGACCGAGTCGCGGCTGTGCAGCGACACGCCACCGCTGTCGCTGTCGTCGGTGCTGCCACCTGTGCTCTCGCGGCGCCACTTGTCGCTCTCCTGCAAACGCGGACCGATCATGTTTCCATGACGACAGCAGTCCACACCGTGAGTAAGTCTACATTTCGGAATAAGTTGTTCGGAAGAATGATATTTCTATGGCAATGCCGAGTCACTAACACAAGTCACTCACAAATACTTTTTTTAAAGCTATGGTTTGTATTATTACATGTACATCATAATATAGGAACACATGTATGCACACGCACACACGCACGCATGCTCGCACAAATGTACACTCACACGCGCACGCACACGCACTCGCATGCTCGCACAAATGTACACTCACACGCGCATGCACACGCGTACGCACGCTTGCACAAATGTACTCACACGCGCACGCACACATGCACGCATGCTCGCACAAATGTACACTCACTCGCGCATTCACACGCGCACGTACGCATACAGCACCATTAGTGCAGGGACAAGCATACCTTCAACGTCGTAGGTGGCGCTGGCTGCAACGACGGATGCTCGTCCCGGTTGTCAGCGACCGGCGTTCTCACGTTGCCGTCGCGCTCCGCGACCAACGCCCCCTGGTGGTTGGACGTGGCAAACTCGGCATTCCGTTGCCGCGGCACGTTCTCGACAATCGCCGCCTGGCTCACGAGAAACGTGCTCGCCGCGGCGGCGCCCCCTACAGGCACGCCCGTTACCGAGCACGCGAGTTCTCGGGGCGCGGCGGGTTTCGCAGACGCTGGCTCGACGCTGGTGATGGTGGCGCCCCCTCGCGCGGCGGCATACAGCTGCTGCTCAGCTGCCAGCGCTGTCCGATGGTTGTACATCTGCTGCTGCTGCTGCTGCTGCTGCTGCTGCTGCTGCTGTTGCTGCTGTTGTTGCTGTTGCTGCTGTTGTTGCTGCTGCTGCTGCTGCTGCTGCTGCACCAACTGCATGTTGCTGTACAACTGCGGCACCTGGTGGTGATACTGTCCGTGCTGCTGCTGCTGCTGCGGGCCCACGTACGCTGCCGCCATCTCGGCGACTCCCGTGAATGGCATCACGGTCGGCAGGCACAGCTGCTGCTGCTGCTGCTGCTGCTGCTGTTGCTGCAGCTGCGCGCCGGCGGCCGTGCCCATCGCCTGCGTGACGATGCTCTGCAGGCTCGGCAGCAGGCTCTGCACATCGACGTTCGGGTTCGCGCTCATCAACGTCTGCATCAGCGTCTGCAGCATCACGCTCTGCTGTGTCAGTGCGCCGTCGGCGGCGACCGGCGGCTGCGGCGGAGGTGGAGCCTGTATCGTCGCGATGCCCTCAAACATGCCGCCTCCCGGCGGGCACAGGTACACCTGCTGCTGCTGCTGCTGCTGCTGCTGCTGCTGAAGCTGAAGCTGAAGCATGGGGTCGGTTAGCATGTCGCCGGGAGCGTACACCTTCCCGGCAGGCGAGACGAACACGCCCTGTGGCAGGAGAGACGCCGGCGCCCCCATCGCGTTCGCAAGCACGAGTCCCGGCTGCACGACGCTCAGTTGTGGCGGCGGCAGCGCCCCCTGGTGCTGCGGCGGCAAGAACATGATCTGAGAGGGCGCCGCCGTGCAGCTCGGCTGCTGCTGGATGCTGATAACGACATCTGACGCCGGGACCGTCGCCGCGGCGACGCGCTGCCTCCGCCTGCGCTTGCGCTCGCCCGCATCCTCGTAACCGATGGCGACGCCCGTCGTCGGCGTCGCGCACGCTCGCTTCGGCCCGCGTGGCGAGCACGCCGGCGCCACCTGCTGGTGCGGCGAGTCGAGGAGCATGCCGCCGGGGGGTGCCACCTGCACGCTCACAGACTGATGCGCGGTCACCTGACTGACCTGAAACCCGGTCAGGCCCTGGTACGGGCCGGCGAGACCCTGAGCGGCAATCACGTGCGGCGCGCCGAGGCCCACGTCCGCCTGCACGAGCCCGGACATGAGCACCTGGCCGGGCGGACCCGTGGGCAGACCGTGGACGATCGTCGGCGGCCCGCCAGCGGCCCCCGGCAGCATCATGGCGCCCTGCAGCCCCGCGTACGCCATCGGCGCCGCTGCCGCCGCCCCCGTCATGTGAACGAACGGCTGCTGATGCTGCTGCGGAGGATGAGGATGAGGATGCTGCGGATGAGGATGCTGGGTGATGCCGGCGGCCGGGATCACGTGCGGGATGCTGTTCGTCACCATCGTCGCCGTCGACAACGTCACCGGATGACTCGGGATCGATCCTCCGGACGGTGCGTGCCGCGGTGGCGCCCCCGCGCGGATAGCCGGCTTCCCGTCGCCCGCGGAGACGACCGGAGCGGCGCAGGTAGCGGCCAAACGTGGCTGCGATTCCGTCGCCGCGACGACGAGGCACGGAAGTGGCGACTCGCCGCAGCCGCCGTGGTCGCACGGCGCGGCGTGACTCGTGGCGCCCTCTTCATCCACCCCAGTCTCCGGCAGCAGCCCCGAAGCCACGCTCTCTCCGGTCTCGCTCAACGTGCAGTCCTTGTACAGCGTCCTCTCCCCGCCGCCCGCCGGCGCCCCCTGGCGGCCCTGCGGACACGCCTGCGCCCGAAACGCGTCCATCGCCGCCGCTGTCAGCAGGCTGCTGGCCGGGAACGGTAGAGGGCGCTCCGGTTCCTCGCATGTCGCCGTCGTAGGTGGCGCCGGCTGCGGCTGCGGAGGCTTCCGGGGAACGGGCAGCGTACCGGCAAGCGGGATCACAGTAGGGGGTGACGACGTACTACGTCCTTGCAACGACGACATCGACAGCTGCCGCTGCCCCGCGGTGGAGGGTCTCGTATCACAGTGGGCGGCGGCGGCGGTGGGGGGCGGCGGCGGTTGCCGCGGCGACATCGTCTCGTTCAGCATCGCCGTCTGCTGCGCGAGGTAAGCGGTCGGATCCTCGAAGAAAGACACGGCGGTCGTCGGCGTGGCGACGCCGCCACCAGGGGGCGCCTCGGCTGGGATGTGTAGTACGTCGACGTTGGGGCATGGCCCCTGCTGCTTGCGTTCGCTCGATGCGGCGGCGGTTGCAGACGAGGGTTTCACCTTCTTCTTGCGACCGCGCCTTGACTTGACTGGCATGCACGATTCGGGGACGACACTGCCCTGCTGCTGCTGCTGCTGCTGCTGCTGCTGCTGTTGCTGCTGCTGCTGCAAGATGCCGGGAGGTCTTTGGTTGTTGACACTGGAAGACATGTCGCCGTGACTACCGCTGCCCATCGCCGCGGCGACGTCGCGCGTCGCGTTCGCCGGCGACCGTGTCTGCACGCCCGCTCCTACCGTTGTCGTGACGACGCAGCCCTTCGACGTCGCACCCGAAATGCCCTGCAGGGGGCGCCCGGATGCGACAGTAGAGAGAAGCGGATCGTTTGGCTGACCCTGCCGAAAAACAAGAGGCAATCAGCGACGTAAGGCCCCCCTACACGACGACGAGACACGAGTAGAGTCGTTTCCACGGCAACGCAACCTAGCACGAGGTTTTCCAGACTGACAGTGACATGCAACGTTTATCGCAGATTCATTATAATCATTATTTATTCAAAACACTTTAAACAATTTTATGTCGATTAACACGCCAATACATCATGCATCTATAGTTCACCTCCAAAGAAACTTGATTGGAATCATGGAAACATTCAAATATTTTTTACCCCCGAAAAAACGACACAAGAAAAGGGAACGGGGACGCTCACAGAATGCGACAGAAACATTCATTCAATTTGCAGTAACGCCTTCACCCGGTTAGTCGCAATACGGCAAGCTACGAGTATAAATACATATTATACAGGACGCAGTACATTTACCGTACATGTATCACCATCTAGAACAGTGGTTCTTAACCTTTTTGAGTCATGGACCTTTTTGAGAATCTGGTGAAAGCCACGAACCCCTCCCGAGAAAAATGCACATAAACACACATATTTTTTAGCCGCCTGGTTCACGGACACCCTGATGACCACAGGTTAAGAACGTAGATACAATACCGCTAACCCCCCCACCCCCCCGCCCCAAACATGCACACGCTTACCTGCACTGCGGTGGCAGACGATGACGTCGATGTTGCCGTGGTTACGGCCGTGGCGAGGCCGGCGGCAGCGGCGGCGCGTGCGATGCGATCTCGCTGCTCCAGCAGCTTCGACACGAGCATCCCGTCATACGGACTAGACTGCTTCTGGCGAGGCTTCTTGTTCTTGGCTGAGATGAACGCAGAGACATCGTCAGAGGAACAACAGAACAAAACTATGTCAGAGGAACAATGGAAGACTTCGAAGGAACAACGGAACAAGACATCGCCAGAGGAACAACGGAACAACACAATGTCAGAGGAACAATGGAACAAGACATCGTCAGGGGAACAACAAAACAAGACATCGAAGAAGGAACAACGGAACAAGATGTTAGAGGTGCAATGAAACAAGATGTTAGAGGTGCAATGAAACAAGACTATGTCAGAGGAACAACGGAAAAGAATACATCAGAGGAACAAGGAACAGATTTCAAATATCGCAATAATTATGCGCAAAATGGTTAACATGTCTGGACAACATTGGAGAAACAAGAGAACGGCAAGACTACGTCAGAGAATCAACACAAAGAGAAAACGACGGCACAATCGGTTCATCGTAGACTGAACATCGAATTTAATACAGTTTTAGTAACTGACAGCCACAAACAA